AATTTCGGGCTCATAAAAAATGTACAACAATCAATATTTATAAAAATAAATTACGCGACCATTAATTTTCTGTATACGCGCCTGGTGCCTGAAAATGACTGAGTTTAAACCTGGTATTCACCCCTCTCGCCCCACAGATCGGTCTAGGGATGCGCCACATTTGACCAACGGGAAAACGTCATCATAACGGTATTTGAATATAACATTAATTTCCATATTGAAGTTCTGTTCACCGATAGTATGTATTATAAATTATGCACTTGTGTTACATATTTAATAAAAAATCCGCGGAATTTCGCGAACTCTGAAGGTGCGCAGTTGTAATAAATCAAAAACAGTATTTTCACATTTAAAATTTATAAACTAGCATATTACTGATCTAACGGAACGGCTCGGGTTCGCGTTGAAATCAACACACATACATATTAAATAATAAATCCTCTAATGAAATCGGAGATGAAACATAATCGTCACTAACACGTAATATTTCGGACTATTATGTAATAAAACGAGCGAAATATTATTCAACTATAAGTCGAGTTTCTACACGTTATTTATGAATAATGATATTTTATAATATTTTATATACTTTACGTGAATCGCTGTCTCTTCAACACTTTTACGTTACCGCTGTGACGATCGCAAAATGCGCGGATAATACAGAAAATGAGAAAAATACACGTTATTTTAAAATTAAACGGCAATCACGCGTAATCTCAACACTGCGAGCGCGTAGGTATACATTGTATTGAAAACATTTGTGATTCAGTTATGCTCGGAAACCTAACAAATTCGTCTCGGTTTCGAGTTTGCAGGCACACTGACGACTATAAAATATTCTCGGGGGTCTGCGCAACAGACATCGTATAGCGTGCATATGTAACTATGTAAACGACAACAAGCGGCGTTGTCATACGGTCCCATCCCTCCCCGAAAAGATAAAAATATGTTTCTTTAGGCAGGAACGATTTCTTTGAACGGCCTTGTGTTGTAGCCGTCTTTGGTGGTCGTGTTTTGAAGAAAAATAATAAAAATAACAGAAATGTGCAGCCAACGTCTTGACGTAACAGTGCATTGTTGTCGTTGATTATACCTACCGTACTCTTTGTAAAATGGGTATCGCTTTCGGTGAACATATGCGGATTAAGGAGATTACGCCTACTACGGTTGATGGTTTTTTTTTTTTTTTTTTTTAAAAAAAAATACGTAGCTACTTATTACCGAGTATTCATGTTCAAAATGGTAGGCTTTCGTTTGGGTAAAAAAAAAAAATAATAATAATAATAGTAATAATAACAACCCTATTCTTTATATTTTTTGTAATATATCTAGATATATAGTGTATATATATTATATTACTTAGGTATGCATTTTTGTAAAACATTAACAATTTGTGTATTATATTACACAGGGTCTGTCGAATTTCATGTTGCAGTGTCAAATTTCCATAAAATTCTAATTTTTCAAAAAAAAATTCTTTGTGTCATAATTATATTCTAAAATTTTACATTGTCTTTATTTTGCTCACATTAATTTTCGGTAGTGAAATCACTACCCACCTTTAGTTTTCAAACAGCAACACATATTAAAAATTCTATAAAAAGATGAAGTTTTAGTTAAATAAATTTTGAATTTCCGTCCACCCGATGACGAGAGATTCCGCTTTTAAGTTTGAATAAGAGAAGATTAGTGGAGCACTTTTCACACATCGTACGCTGTACCGCCACGCAAATTATACACCACTACTATCTTCTTACTCAAAATTAAAATCGGAATACCTCGTCAACGGTAGATAGAAATTCAAAAATGTATTTAAACTAAAATTTCATCTATTTATGTAATTTTTATTGTCGATAAATCGAAAGTGGATTTGCCTAACATTGCCAACAAAATTAAGAGTGAACAAAATAAGGACAGTATAAAATTGTTGAACATATTGTTTTCAAAAGTATTTCATAGAAAATTTGACTGTCAAATGAAATTTGTATGACAGAGTATAATAGAAAATAAATTGATATTTGAAAATTCACTTTAGTTGTGGAGTTTACACGCTTTATTTTATTTCAGCTATAATATTATTTTAATACACGTAGGTATATAAAGTATGATTATGTAAATAGCGGCTATTATTATTATTTTTAGTTACACAATATAGTACGACTATGGCGTAGACTAATAAAATATGTTAAACTGCAGGAAAAGAGAGGTGTTTATACGAACCAAACCTATAATCAGAAATTCCTTCTGCCCCTCAGACAGTCAGGTTTGTATAATCAATTTAGATTTCAATTTCGGAAAAAATGTTCAACAATAATTTTTATGAGGCGGTTATTATATTATAACGTGTTAAAAAAAAAAAAAAAAATGAATATTATCACTGTTTTTTCCTGGTACGTAATTACCATACAAAAGAACCTTGAAACCATAGATATAAAACACTAGACAGATAAATGATATTTCGATTTGACGATAGTCGCGATACACGCTCTACAGACTGCAATTTTTACATAGTTTTACATGTTTACATAATTATTTTTGATTATTTATACATAAAAAAGTTAGTACCTATGTAGATATGTAGTTTGTTATTAGTTTTCAAAAAAAAAAAAAAGTGGTATTTTCGATTTTGAGCGTAGCGACGGATTTATTGGTTTCACTACGACGAGTGTTTTCTTTTAATTTATTTTTTCGTTCGCAATCAACTTCACGACGAGAAGTTTTGCGCCAATCGAAAAATTACAAAACAAACTTTATCGGTGCATTTCGGATCTAGTTGGTGCATTAAACGGATCATTTTATTTTCCCACGTAGTTTAGCTACCAGATGGAATCATTTTGACAAATATAACTATTTATCACTGCTATCAGTGTGGGTTTATTTTGACAGTAAATAATTAAAACAAAGTAAGTAACACAAGAAAGTATTAAGTTCACTAAGCTTTTCTCTATAAATAATTAAACCCTCAAGTGGCTAATAAATCGGCAATTTGAAACTAGAAATCTATAAATTTACTGCCTCCTGTCAATAGGCAAATATTTCCACGAAACCATCATTCAAAACTGCTACATCTCCCATCACTTGTATTGTAGTTTATTAAGTACGTTTCCATTTATTTTTCTAATAGGTATATTATTTTTAAGCAATGAATGACAGTATAAATAAAAAAATTACAAAATAACAGAAAATACGCAACCAGGTGTGAGGGGGTGGGGGTTATGGAACACCCGAAAAGTCCTACGTGATCATTTTTAACAATTTATATGGCTCGGATCAAATTGCAGTACTTTTTAAAAACTAGAAGCATGTAACAGATTTATGTTGTATTTTAGACGTTCAAGTTATAATTTTTACTAAGATTTTTTTTCATTCTGAGATTTTCTGAGAACATTTTTAGTTAGTAAAAACATTCAACATTGTTTACATCGTACATTCTTTTAATTCAATTTTTCGCCTTGTGATTAGTATTTTGTTTTAAACATTATTCTAGACTCCCGTTAGAATTTTTAAACAATTTAAAACAATTGAAAGTACATTGGTTTTGCTTAATTAATTTGTTGGGTTATCTTAACTAAACCGGAAAAAAAACACGACCTATTGATTATCTGATTGCAATGATTTATCATCGATTTCAGCTAAATTACATTATATTATATACATTCGTAACTTCCCACTGAAAATAGTGGCCTACTCATGGTGCAAAGTATGATCTGCATGTTTTCATCATATTATTATTTAACTAATAGGTTAGGTAATATTGTAATATTAGTCAAAACTTTTAACTTATATCAGTATTTTTAAATATTTTATATCAGCCATAATTATTTATCATTAGCCTCATTTAAAAAAATAAAATATGTCAAATGAGTTTTAGATTCTGGGGATACTAAAGAATCTGTTTTTTATTTTTTCGAAGAATACTTTTATGATTAATTAAAATGCTCTGATTTCATCGTGAATATGAAAATTGTTCGATATTTTGAGTGGTTTTTACATTCTTTTTTTTTTTGTTGTTGTTGTTGTTTGATGTTTGTTGATTTTTGGGTTACTTTGGCAACAAGGGAGAGTACTATATATGACTAATATTATTACTATAATGGTCCGTTCAGAATCGTTTTTCGTTTGCAATAAATTATTGGTTGCATATAGTCTATAAACTAAATTATATAGGTAGGTATATATTATTAATATTCCGTGACAAAGAAAATATAAATTTTATAAATTTCACTTAAGATCGTTTGAGATCACTGAGGTCACTTTGTACAGTCGGCTAAAAAGGGATTATAGAACACAGACATCGTATACTAGTACTATGTATACATATAAACATACATAGGTACCAGGTGTAAAATGTATAATTAGATACATAAATTATACGCAGTGTACACTCACGAGTCATGACAAATTCAGGAACTTGGATCGCCAAAATTGTACAAAGAAAATGTACAAATGTAAAATGATTACTTACTACTTGGCATTTTCATCCATAAACAACATTTTAATCGTTATTAGTTATATGTATACAACATAGTCGAGGGAGTTACTGCCCCTTTTATTTGATATTTAAACAGACTTATATTAGTGGTAATAATAACAATGCGCCCTTCTTCTATTTGGAATGTAACCGTATAAAACACTAAACAGTGTCCAAATCGCATAGAACAAACAATTTTAGCGAGTGGGCCGTTCGATTAATTAGTTGGAATAACTGATCATAGTTTTTGGGACAGTCTTAAAGGAAATACAATTAGACGGACGTGAGAGACAAATATCTGAGGTTGATAGTAACAAATCGTTAGATTTGTGTAATCAACACGAACAAAAATATATATAAAAAAAAAAAAAAAACCAATTACAAATGATTAAACGCAATTTACTATCGGTGTTTGTAGTTCTAAATTATATATTATAACAGAATTGTAACATCTTGACTTGTTCGTCGTATAAACATTGTTATTTGAATAATATACTTTTGACCGTATTATGATATTGATTTTTAGTATGGCATGGCATAATGCATTATTTAATATTTTTTCATACCGGATACCTGTATAATAAATGTAAAATAGCACAAAGTTTCTGCGTTCTGCGTTCTGCCGACCGTGTAACGCGTCCGCGTTCCGTGTTTTAAACAATAGACAATACAAAATGACAGTTCACTCGGGTAAGCATGTAATGCACGTAGACTGATACCGCGAGAATTTATCAAAATATTTTCAAATACACTATCGACGACAATACCTTACATTGAATAAAATAATATATTACAGAAAAATTTCTATTTTACAACGATAATAATACTACTAATAATAACAATGATGATATGATATGGTGATAATAACGTATAACCGAAAACATATTATTGAATTTGCAGATTATAATATAACAGCAAAACTAACAGCAAAATTCAAATGTTATTAGTATTTTACATTACATAATACAATTTTGATCAAAATCCATTAGGAGGTATACACGTGAATAAATAATGACGTTGTGTTACAATATAGTTTTGAATTTTTTTCGTTATAAAAGTAGAATCAATTATAATAATGTTGTTGCTAAAAGAACCGAGACGATCCTTTTTCGATACATTTAAAAATTTTCTAGACGCTAGCGCGGTCTAGGAAATTTACAACCGACATTCGATTTCACAGTGAATATAAAAATACGTCTGCTCTGTTCGGATTAATAAAAACGAAATAAACAAAAAAAAAAAAACCCCCTTAAAATATAATTCAAAACGTAATAGCGTATACGAAAATTTCGGAAGGTATGCTGCCACGGAACTAGTTTAGTAATAATAATTTTATTGATACATTAGTATTTACACAATTTATTATGTACGTATAATAATTTTACAGATATTTACGTACGCAGCCACACGAATTATACGTAAGTAGTCCTCCTAAGTAAAATAATGGCATCGGTTGTTAATTGAACAGGTACGTGTTGCGTGTACTCGTTTTTAAAGTTATTATACATAATGATATTTAATTTATATAAAATTGTTGAAAAATAAATTATCGTCATCGTGGTGTATCCTATGTGCATCTCGCTGCAACAATTACAGTCGATCATTTGAATAACAGCAGCGAATTATTGTTGTTGAATGCGTACGGCAGAAAATCCGGTACCCTCTGTAGCCTCATGATCCTGATGTTCACTTCTCTCTTGTCCAGAGTTTTCCTGAAGTATTTCTGCAGTCTCGTCGACACCACCCAGATGGCTCCCTGGTCACGGTCCGCCGACCTGATGTCTAACACAAATTGCAGTTCCTCCGGACTGTATGCGAGAACACTGGAAACATAACAGTACAGGTAATAACATTGAAAATATTGTCAAAGTCAAACGCTAAAAGCGGTCGGTATATAACAGCGGTGCACACCAATTGTGTTCCCTGCGCCTACTAACCAAGTCCCCGGTATAAACTAAAAACATACCAACAAATGAGTCCACGCTTGGGAAAAGCGTTGCCGGTTTCATTCGAGACAAGCACGGTATAGAAAAATCTTATCGCCATTGGGTCCGAGTTAATTCTAATTAGACTCAATGATTGGATTTCGAGTAGACAGTATTAAATATTTTTAATCACTGTGCAGAGTGAAACATATTAAGCATCTGCATTTTTAAATAAAAAATGAGAAGCGCATATAATAATATGAAAAGGAATTAGACAGTTAATAAATAAAGAAAACGAAGTAAAAGAAAAAATGGAAATTTTTATCGCTTAGATTTTCACCCGTCACACATTTTAAATGTATTATTTAAAACAATTTGCATACATTTCAAAGTACATTTTTCTTGTACACTTATAGCTACAACATTCGAATTATTTATTTATTATTGCAAACAGCCAATATTTTATTATGCACTAACCAATACGCATAATACATAATTTTACAAAACTGTATGGGACTCAATTAGTATAAAAACGGGAACTCAATTGACATTTTAACATCTATCGGGACTCAATAAGTACGCATCCCAAACGACCAGGGATTCAATTTATTGTTCCGAAAGGAATTTTCGCAACTCAATTCGTATGCATCCATAATGATTATGAGACTCGAAAAAAACATAACTTTTCAGTTAAACTCAGGTACGAATAGTGTACGTTTATTTGAAGAATACCTCCCGTTCATAAAAGGTGATATTTACCGATTTCTACGGTAGGCTGCGTTGGTGCCGCTGGTTACACTACCGAGATACCGGTACGCTAAGCACCGAGAATAGGGCAGACATTTTACATAACATTTTGAGTTGTATAAGTTCGTGCGCACCGTTGTAAGCGATTCGTGTTTTAGTTTAACAGAATATTTCTTTTATCTTTTATCAGAGAAAGCCTGTATACAGATTAGGTGAAATTGCCAAGCGAGTTACTCATGGAATGGATAAAAAGTTGACTATTTCGTGCATTGGCAATCGGCAGTCTTAGAAATATAACTCGACACTGAACTTTATTTGACGAAACAGACTTATCAGTAAAAAGCAACGGGTTTTATAACACGATGTATCGTGTATCAATCGGTATACTGTTGATTCCAAAAGCATATTTTGAAACTGGTGATGATAATTATTATAACCTTATAGTGTATATATATGTATATATATTTATATGCTGCGATAATAATCGATGCAGTTGTGTAAAAAAAAAAAATGGTACTTTTATGTAATTATGCATATTACGCGAGCCGAATACGTAAGTAAAAATTATTTTTTTTTGAATTTATTATTTACCGCAATAACAATAAACAATAATAGTTTTATAATTATCAAATCTTTTTATTGTTATTATTTAATTAATTTACAACAATTAATAATTTTGGGTCAACCCGTGGAATAGGCGAAAAATGTCATGAACTCAATCTCACCTATTGGGGCGTAACAATGAAACATATATATATATATATGTACGTATACACGTTGCGGCTATAAAGCTATATGGTTTGACGTTTTAATTTGGAGTTTCGTAACAACACGTAAAAGCCACCAAAGTGGTATTGTAGCGAAATCTGAACGCGCGCAGGTGTCGTTTTTTTCCACCGCCGTAAAAGCGTTACACTTAAAATCAGATAGTGTTACTTTTTCATTTCAGTAGTATACAATCGAAATGTACACTAGTTCTACATTAAAAATTGCACAAAACTACAACTGTCCGGTCGGTGTAGTTATCTTTGGCATAGGGCGGAGTCACCTATGGTCATCTTGAGCATTTTTTCTCGTTAATATTTGATTCAATTTATTTGCGATTATCGATAAACTTAAACACTAAACTATCGGTAAACATTATGTGTTTACTAATATTTAGTTTGCATTTCAGCGGTCTAAAGAATACGATGAAAATTATTAGTATTATTATTAATAGTAGTCTGCGAAATTATTCTATTTACGAATGAAATAAAAACGAGCGGTCTTAGCAGAGATACCGACAACTGACTTAACGTTAACGCGGCAATTCCGCCGTAGAATAAATCTTCGTTATAGGCCTAACCGAACTAAAGAACATAAAAACCCCGTCCCTAACGACTGTCGACTCGAACAACAAAACCTTGATATAGGCAAACGAATATTAAATTGTTATATTGATTACTCACCCGTGTTCTACGGATCCCGGGATCCAGCTGGCCAGTGCCGTTTCGGATATCGGGCTGAATATGAGGGCGCCGTCCTTGGGGTCGACGGCCAGTGGAGCGCATTGTGAAGACTTGTGGCCTACCAGCGACACGGGCAGATCAGCGTCGTCGCCTAAGTTGGGACCCGCCTTGAGGGCGGCCGTAGGTATCGAGAACAGACGGTCCGAGGCGAACGGTTGGAAGTACAGGCGACGACCCGCGGTGCCGACGGGCGACAGAGCCAGGCCGATGATTCCGTCCATCAGAGTGAAAGATTCGCCGGCCACCTATGAATAGAACGGAACGGATATTACGTCACGAGCGTATCGGTAATGAAACTTACCGATAGGATTCCGAAGTCCGGGTCGGGGAACATCAAAGGGTGTGAAAGCCTCCAAGCCGTGTCTCTCCGAGCGTCGTATACCACGATTGCGGGGTTCGTGCTGTCGGACATGTACACGAACACGTTGTCGCAATCGCCCAGGAAACCGTCTTGCAGATGGGAAACGTCCGTCTGGTCATCGATCACCAGATTGGTCAGCAGCGTGTTAGACCTGAGGATTTCGGGCGGCAGCGTCACGCTTCTCAACTGAAAACCGTAACGTGACCGATTTTAACAGGCGTACCACTGATCGCGCAACGAATGACTACCCCGTCGTATATGACGCTGTCCGCTTTTTCGCTTCCATTACCTCCAGTGGCGTAGCCGGAGCTCAACCGAGGGAAGGGCGGTTTACAAAATGTCGTGATACATCACCGGTGTAAATACCGTTGTATTTTATTACCCGTATGCTGTAGCCGCGGTCGAAACAAGACCGCTGGAATATGTCAACGGGGGTGGGGGGAGGAGGAGGCGACGAACGGCCGTCGCCGCCGCTCAACTACGCCACCGGTCTCCTCTCCGTTCTCCGCACTTACCAATCTGTCGGTTCTCATGTCGAACACCAACAATTTGGGCGGGCAGATCGTGTTGAACGTCTCGACACTGTCCATAACGCCGCTGTCCAGCACCCACAGCCTGTTGCACCTGTCCGCCCTGACCCTGAACACGGACACAAGGCTGGAACAGTTGGGTTTCGGCGACGTCACCAGATCGCCGCTAGACGCTTCGCTGTGCCATTCCCAGTTCGGATAAGCCTAATGCATAAAAACGCGTTTGGGCCGTTACAATATCTATCGGACACATTGTCGGGTTCGTAAATAAACAATAATACCGAAACGGCGCGGTTCATACCTGCAACAGTGGCGATTTGTGCGTGTCGAACTGCACGCCCGCGCGGTTACGCGGTATCCACGCCAAAGTGGCCGGATTGCCGTTGAACAGCCTCGGGGTCATAATGAATATCCTGTCCCAACCTGGTAAAATCATCAAACTGTTAACATATTCGGTCCGTTTCGAACGGGTCTTAAAAATTGAATACACAGAATACACGTTTCGGCGTAATACACACACCGGAGTACGCGATATTGTTTTTGTTCACTGATCACTTCGGATCACTGTTTTTGATGAACGTGTCAGATTTATAATTGAAAATCGAATTATGTAAACCGCTTTGTTTGTTTTCGTCTTTTTTCCACCCTCCGTAGCATAAATTCTATTAGAATGCGTTGACACAATTATTCTGGACATTGTTAAAAGCATCTAAACAGTAGCCTATTAGTAGTCCACTTTTACGACGAATTGTAAAATTCATCGACTCATACGATACTATCATATATAGCGCGTATAGTCTAGCGCATTGTATTTCTATTAGAAGTTTTGTAATTCAATAATAATTGCTCTTAATCAGAACATAATGCGCGGTCTATTAGACGACGACGGACCGTAATAATATTATGGACAACAAAATCAAAGGACGGTGCAAATACGAATTGCAATTGTTGATGGGGAGCAGGTCCATCACGTTGTCCGCATGTTGTAATTTATCGTGCCTAATACCTATTCAGAAAGTCATTATAATAGAACAAATACGCGATATTATGGACAAATTATCTAAACCGGCCCGGTCCCGGTGGCGTGATTTCAGTTTTTGAGAAGGGCAAAAGTTTCGACCGGCCCATAATAAAACTGGTACGGAAAAAAAAACCGTCCGCTAACTTATTCGTTACAATTACATTTTTTGTTTCAACACAAATATCCTTATTACCTTATTTTATACTTACTGTCATAATCATGAACAACTCATTGTTTTTTTTTTTTTTTTTTAGAACAATGACTAAATAATCAATATATAATGTGTAGAGGGATTACCTATCAGGTATTATATAAAGACTTAGTATGAGGGGAATTTTACCCCCCGATTTATGTCTTATTCGTGCCAATGTGTATGGGGTGTACGTCATGCGTTTACAAAAAATATAACCATGAACAGCGCTGGCGCTAGGGGAGGACAAACTGGACATAAGTCCAGGACTCTGCGCTTGTTTTGGTTTTAATAGGCCCCGCGGTATATTATTATGTAGGTATATAATTATTAGTCATATTAAAGCATTGTCCAGGGTCCCCCAAAACCTAGCGCTGGCACTAACCATGAACATTAGTATAATCATAAAATAGATTAAATCGGAACGGACACGGTCCAAAAATTTACATTGGCTTTCGTGAGAGCCCGATAATTTGAACTGAAGTGCAATCGATGTTAACAAAAATTACAGTAAAAAAATCATTTTACACAATTATTATCACGAACAAACATTAAATAACGGTAGTTCAGAGTGGCCGTTTGCAACATAAATCATAAAACATAATGGCAAGAATCATGTTTGCGGCCCAAAACTATCCCGATACCAACCCATACCCGGCCCAAAAGCGGCCCGACGATGAAAAGGGGGAGAGCAAACGCCTCCGCTGCTCTTCCCCAAGCGACATCACTGGCCAGTCCGTGGTTATCTTGCGATAATTACCTATAAAATCTTAGGTAAATTCGATCAGTCGTCTCCGTATTACGATAATCGCGTGCAATATTTGTACAGCCGCGGCCGAACTGGTAGCGCCATCTAGCGTACACGTCGGCGCAAAGTTAAAATTTTAAACCTTATTTTTACATTACGCTAACAATAGTAATGTTTTCAAGCCGCGGTGCATTTCTAACAGAAACTCAATTTTCAACAAACGCTAAATACTTTAACGTCAATTTGTTGTGTCTTTGGTTAGGTCGAAAAAGATTAGTTTCGGCGATATTTGTATTGATTTCTTTAAATATATTATTCTACCGTCTACCCATAGCGTATTATTGTTTTTGTAAAATAACACGTTTTCTATTATTTGCATTGTTTTAACGAATAAATACCATTTCAAAACGAGAATAGTAATAAATAATAACTTTCTATTTAGGTACGCGGAACTGCGAATAGGCGCCTAATTAAAAATATTAACACGATACGCCTACCTACTTATGATAATGATTTTAGTAAATTGTTATTCTTCACGCGTGCAGCGCATATTTTGCTTTTTACCGTTTTCCGACGTCTTACTAGGAACGCAGAGGGCGGTAAAACGTCGAAAAAGACCGCCCCGTACGGTACCACGGCGTTATTCTGTATTCAATCATTGCTGGTGAACACGCGTTTACACTGTCCACTGTCCCGATAAAAACGTACTACGGCGTCGAAACGTTGCAAAACTAGATAGCACCCTCGTTCCGCTCGGAACATTTAAAACGTATATCCCGGTGTCGTCGGACAGTCGATACGTCGCACGTCGCCCGCGATAAGCGCAAAAGCGACGGGTCCGAGTCGGCTCTCCGGGATCTGCCGGGACGCGGACGACACGCGACGAACTGCACTCGAACCGACCGGTCGAAACGTCAAAATACCGTATTCGTTAAATTGTTTGTGCGGCACAGCGGAAACGGCCGCGCACTTTGTGCAAGCGCGTGCGTTGCGCGCAACCGACGCGCGTTTTTTTCAAACCCGAATACCGGCGGGCGTGACGCGCGCCCTGTCGGACGTATCCGCGACGCGCGCAACGAGTAAAACCGTACGAGCAATTGACGCGCGGACCCGCGGTAAACGGCACGATCGCACGGGCCGAACAACGGCGTCGCGACGTGGCCACCGGCCGGCGAGAAAACGCCGACGCGGCGGATATCGGTGGGTGTCCGGGCGAAATCCGCCGGACCGCAATCGCGGGCCAGCCAGTGCCGTCGGATCGCGCCCGACGACCGTCGACCGATTTACGGAAATCGACCGCGCGTTTTTAACACCGCGAAACGGTCGGAGATCCCGCGCCGAGACGAACGGGCGGAACTCGGCGAAAAGCGTTCGGCGTCCACGTATGCGCGGCAAAAGGACCGGACGGTTTGTGTCGCAGGTGCACGCAGGCGTCGTGGATATCCGCGCGAGACGAATCGCGAACGGCCGTCGGGCCGTCGGGCCGCGTGCGTATAGGAAAACGCGGCCGCGCGACCGAGCCGCGTCGGCTGGAGGGACGGCCGCGAAGCCGCAAACGAACGGCCGTCCGTAATCCGTATTATTATCAATTCGATCGAATCGGATAACAGAGCGAGACGGAAAGAAAAACCACCCCCCCCCCCCCCAAGACCTTATCGATATCGGTTGTTATACGCGGGCCGGTGTTATTGTTAATGTTTACTACTGTTATCAATTAAACAAACGAAATGCCGGAGTGTCGGGCCTATAAACGTTAATGGCCCGTTATAATATCGGAATCATCGCGGGACACCCCTCCGTGAGTTGTCCCCGTTTTCGGAATGTTTACGACGTTATAACGCGATGCGATAAATGGCAAACGAGTGAGCTTTTTACGCGGAATATATCCGATCTCGATTGTAGGGTTCAGTAGAGTCGCGGGGTACCTAATGTGGTTTTTGTTTTTTTTTTAACAACGTTAACGTTTCACAAGTATTAACGAGGGTTAAAATAAAAACAAACAGCTTTCCGACATTAACGAAAGACTGTACACGGTGTCTCACCTAAGGCGTATGCTCACTGTAATATTTTCGGAAGTAATTTGAAGACGGCCGTTTTACAGAGTTTATTCGACCGCCAATTTTGATGTTTCCACTGTTCATTAAATTCGCGATTTTTATATATATTTTTTAAAGTTCAGAGAATTCGCTCATTGCTCGTTATTATTATTATGGCTAATTGACAGTACATTTTTTTCTCTAAATTTTAAAAATTAATAAAAATCACGAATTCAATGAAAATAAAAAGTTAACAAGTTCAAAAATGTCAGGCGAATAAACTCTATACAATGGGGCTATCTTCATATTTTTCGAAAATAACAAAGTAAAAAGCGATTTGTCTTTCAGCGTTTATACTAAAACGTAGAAAACTAATTGAAGTATAAATATTTGTAGTCCTTATCGCCGTGAACAGAAACAAAACAAATAACGTAATTCGGTTATCCTTATTATTTCCGGAGATATTGTAATGGATATGAAAACGCCCCGTACAACATATTACGAACGGTAACGCATTTGTTTTGATAACCGTGACATTTTCGGCCGTGCCCACAGCACTGAAGCCGCCGCGTAAAAAATCTCAATTACTTTTGCGCTTGGCGCAGGAAATCCTCGAATCGCGACGATTCGCCTTAGCGCGTGCCGTTACAATTGTTAATGTCGACACGCGGGGTTTTCCCGCTCGCGTAAAATCTATTTCTAAAACCCTTAAATAAAAAAAAAAATAAAACATGCTCATGTAGGTAACCTCGACATCTGCGTTAAATTCCCGTTCGGACGCGGTTCGGTTGCGTACAGCACGCACATAGCGCAACATTACGTACACGCGCTGAACTTTAAGGTCAATGTCGCGTATACTGCAGCCGAAAGTCTTTCCCGCCCGCGGACAAAAAAAAAAAAAAACCGAGAAATATGTATATAATGTAATCGTTGTAAACCGTTCGTACGTTCGCGGCGTTATTGTCGTCGTTATCCGTCTGACCCGAGCCGAGCGGCACGGTACCCGTTACGAAACGCGTGGAAATGCCGCGGAAAGTTTAAAATATCCGCGCGTACACCGCGTGGGTTATTGCACACGTGTTGCGCACGACGGTGAATAATGCGCGTTGTCGTTTTTCATTCGCGCGTATTATTCGCCCGACGACGCCGGTAAGGAAAGAATACACTTGTCCGTTACGCGGGCCTACCGTAAAACTTTTACCGGAAACCGCGCGAGATTTGATAACTCGCCGGTTCACTCGCTAGTGATTTCGGTTTACGGCCGTTCGAGCGGTGGGGGGGTGATGGCAGCATAAGCGCACGCCGTCGGTTTCGGCGTAACTGAACGGCGGGGCAGGCCTACAAACGTACGGTTGTAGTTCGCTGGAAAGGCGCCGGCAAACAGCGGGATGTCTGGAGAAAAAAACGCCGTTTTACGCTCGGCACACGGTCAGTCGCGAATTTTGTCCGATATTGAACGCGCAACCTCGAGACGTGCGTTTTAGAACACAATTCGTGATTTTTCAGTTTTCCGTGCGTTCGTAGTCGTGTCGCGTACTACGGCGACTTAAACCGTTATTAAAATGCACCTTTCAAATGCGCCGCGTAAGACATGTCGAGTCAACTCAATCCGTATTACGTGCTCCTTGATCCGGCCGGAGGTGCTAAGCCCCCTCAAAATTATTCGAAGAAAAAATCAATAATTCCCTATTGCCCTATAGGATATCTGCTAATATTAAAAATTTGAGAGAAATTTGTTGAAATAACTAGACAAATATTACGTTGATATACCACATCCAGTGGCGCGTAATGTTTGTCTGATACACAGGTGGATATTTCTATTATTTATGGCTTAGTGCCAATACCGCCATTCACGGTCTTTCACGGTGCCATTTACGATAGTATCTTGTCGGTATACCTACCTATTATATACAGGATGATCTATGCATCGTAAGACGTCTATTATCTCGGAAAGTATTAACTTTTTTCGGAATTTTTTTTTTTTTTTTAGAACATTTAAGGCACAAATAACTACAGTTTTACGTTTATCTTTTTTTTTTTTTACACTCTTATGTCTCGGCGTAAAACCACTACCTACTTTTAATTTTCGTCGGCAACCTATATTAATGATTTTATTAATAGACGGAGTATTGGTTTAAATATAGGTTCGTATTGACATTTTTGATTTCCATCAATCCGTTGAAAAGATATTCCGCTTTTGAGTTTGGGTCGTAGGAGTGTGGTGTATTATCATTGGTGCGGGGCGGCGCGACATTTCAATAATGCTCTACTATTCCCCCCCCCCCGACCAAAACTTAAAATTGAAATATCTCGTCAATGGATTGACGGAAATCGAAAATGTTAATGATGGACATTTGTTTTGACTAATACTCTATCTATTTATGAAATTTTTAATATGGGTTGTTGTTCGATAATCAAAATTAGGGAGTGTTTTTACCCCCCGAAAATAAGGTCGACAAAATATAACATAAATGTAAAATCGTAGAGCTGCTGGTTTCTTAAAAACGTGTTCTACAAAACGAATCCCGAAAAAAAGCAAATACTTTCCGAGACAATGTGTGTCTTGCGATAGATTGAACACTCTGTATATCGTAACCACGCACCTGACCGTGATGGTAACATATTGTACATACTATTTTAAATACATTTTCTAAAAGTGAAAGAAAAATAAACTTGTTTATTTTATTTCTCGTCGACTTGTGTTATAAATTACATTAAATAGTTATTTTAGAGCAAAAATGTACAGTTTAACGATGCTAGTGTACTGGCTGCGTGGCCCTCGTAATTTTGTTTCGATTCAGTTTTTCTGTAGGAGGACTGTAGACTCCTCAAAAATTCGGTTCTAGCTACGCCTCCTATGTCGGATATCATAATCGGCGGCATTCAGTTATTTATATTATACAGAGCGCCGGTACAGGTATACCGACTCGCAACTAACAACAATACGATACGGAGACTTGAACGCCAATTACGTAAATTAATCGGCAGAGACGCGATACACCTATACGGAAATATTACAAACGGGAAAAACACACGCGTCGTACGACTTTGTCCGTACGTATCGACATAATAAGGTCGGATTTCTGTCAAAACGGTACCTCGTGTATCCGGAAACACCAAAAAAGAGTAATAAAATTTACAATTTACATTTAACAATATAAATTATGTAAAGACCACGGTTCGAAGTTCAAAACGTACGAATGTTATCTGAATTGAGTTCAAATTTTATTTTATTCGACTTTTTTTTTTTTTTTTCTTCAAATTTAAGTCGGTTGTATTTTTAGTTAACTTGAATTTCAATTGAGTAGTTAATTTTAATAAAATCACTGAGACCATGTATGAAGTTAGTAAAAACCAATGGTGAAATTATCGTTTAATGACCTCGAGTTTATTTACAAACTAATTTGAAACCAATTTGTTGATTGTTTCATAAATAATTCTATATTTATTAAATTAATGTTAACATTTTACAGAAAAAAAGACGCGTGACTCAGGACTTGGTGGAAAAACCACAATGAATTAAGACTATTTTAAAATGCACATAATCTACATAATCACGTAAAGGATAATGTAAACATTGAGAAATTAAATAATTGTTCATAATTTGTAATTACTATATTATTATTGTCGAAATACATCGGGCCGCATAAATGTTCGGCATAAACTATTACTGAAATTTAATTTTATAATTATAGTTTACCGCGCGACTCTTGGAATAATAATTATTTGGAGACACGAGTTACTGTTTCGACAACGACCATAACATAATGCAGAAACAGAAAAGTCGCTCGTAATTGCATACTTTTCGTGTACATAACGGGCAGCGTAAACCCCGTTTCTCGCCCCCCCTCCCACGCGTATAGTTATTTTATATTTTCGAACCACCTATACGATGAGAACAATATTATCGCTCGTCTACAGCCGAAACCCCATACATACATAATAAATCGTCGAGTTTCCGAATTTCGAGTAAGTTATCCATCATCGCACCATTCATCACTTACCGATTTCGATTCCGGTGGACACGGTGACTTCGGGCTTGTACGAGTCGGCGTTGGGGTAGTTGAACGGCACGTCGTACCGGAGCAGACTCCACTCGTTGACGGTGTACAGGTTACCGATGCCGGCGACCGCGGTAATAACCGCGGCGGCGCACGTCAAAAATTGCAGCGCGGAGATCATGGCGCGAATGTCGGCGACGGGTTTTTCTGATCTAGACGGAGACGAGGGGCAGACGAAGAAAAAAAAATAAAAACTAAAACACCCGTATCGGCTCAGTTCCAGGGCATAACACCGCGGTACCAGACTTTAACGGCGGCAGCAAAACAAGAAACGAACCGAAGTTCAGCGGATGCGAACGGACGAGGACCGCGACGGTGCAAGTCTGCGACGAAACTGATATCGCTCGGACACGGTCTCCTCTTCGAAGGCGTTTCGCACTTCGCAGCCGTTCCCGGAACCGGTCCCGGACGCGGCGTGTGCGTAGCGGCTACAGGCGCGCGCCACCGGCCGAAACTGTCGCCGCCGTAATAATGGCAATGTCATGTTCGTGTTTAAATCGCCGAGAAACGACGGCCTCCGGTGATTCTTGCGGTTTTTCTCCACTCCGACCGTATACGCGATAATAACAATTAGGGTTGACGTTTGAATGTCCTTGAAAATCTTATATAAAAGAAAAAAAACTAGAGTTTAAAATCGATCTCTTACGACTTTTATAGATATAGAATAAAAAAAAAAAAAAAACCACCAAATCTGAACAATACGCGTTACACACTATAATGTTATATTATGAATATAGCGCTGTGGGGAGTTTAATAGCGTGTCGTTTTTGTCGAATTTACGGCGAAAATGGTGACTTGGAAAGACCGTTTTAAAAAATAAACGGTAAAACTTGAAAGTTGAAAAAATAAATTGATTTCCAAAAATTACGAAAATTGTTATGTCGATTGTAGTAATACCTACTTTGTTCCATGTTCAACCTTCTTGGACCACGCCACAGACATTTTTCTTTTTCCCGCTACTTTTGGACTGAATTTTTAGTGACTCTCTCTAGATCGATTGAGCTTAAACTCAGAAATTAGAACTGTTGAAGTGGTGAAATGTTGGTTGAATTTCAATATGAATTTCATCGCATTTTTACTGGAAGATAGTGTTTTTTGAGCTTTGTACATCCCCATATTATAACTCTCTCAGAATTTCGTATATGCATGGTATACGTATATCTTATAAGATATGTGACTTTTGAGGGTATTTTGAAACAGTATAATAATATAGTGTAGTATTTTATTATTATAGTATTCGTTTATTAATTGTTTTGAAACAAAATATTTTCTTTTCTTTTATACGAAAGAAGTGTGGAAAAATTTGACTTTACACTGACGGAGTTCTGCTTCTCACGGATGTTTTTAGATTCTGAGTGAAGCGAGGAATGTATTACTTTTACAATGATATTTATTTTTTATGTTGAAAACTTTTCTATCAGAAATTTTTCTCAGATTTATAATGAAAGTACTTTTTTTGAATACGAATCTAACTGGGGTGATATTTTAAGGAATTCAATTTTTGATTTTCCTAGGATTTTTTCCAGTAAATGGGAAAAATCGGAAACCGTAAGAAAAACTGGAAAATACGTATAATTTAAAACAATTATTATTAAAGAAAATGTTTAATGCATATATAATACCAAAATATTTTACCATAGTATATGTCATATAAATTATTAATAAATAGCAACACTATCAACCGAACTCCGTTCAGAATCGTTTTTCGTTGGTAATGTTTAATCGTTTCGTACAGATATACAATAGATTTCCTCTCTGATTTCCCAACTTCTCACCTACAACAGTGGCCCACACACGTGCGAAATATGTCCGTATTTTTTTTTTTATAGCTATTAAAATTTCATGAAAAAAGATTTTAAATACTCGACAGACAGCCTATTTAAATGCGTACATCAACACAGTTCCTGTTCCAGTTAGTTATTGTTTATGATAATTGTTACTTTCATAATAATATTGTAAGGAATGCTATATAAAATACAATTGGTGTTTCGATGTGCGATGTTTTAAAACGCGAGACCGGTGAACTCTAAACATGAAAAATCTAATTTTGTGGTCTGGTTAAATATACAGTTGAATAAATAGGAAATACGAAATTGACATGTATGTTAATGATGATTGATATATAATAATAATAATAGTATGCTCTGCTTGCCGAGTATGAAAATCTACGAAAAAAAAAAAAAAATAAAATAACCCTCGTTGTAATTGTATGGTTAAATTTATTGGAAATCCGCAACATTCCAACACGAATAAAACCGCAATGATTACAACTATGTAGGTATGCCTTACAGTAATCTACTATGTCAGAGCCGCTAGAGTCTAATTTGAAATACGATTTTTAAATATATGTATCTAATAATATAGTCAATAAAATGTTGAGTCGGTCGAGTACTTGATTTTCGAGCTCGACTTGACTCGGACAAATTAATGCTGACTGGATGTTAACAAGCCGGAACGCGCCCAACCCTACGGTGAATTAAATTCATTGTAACATGTATCAACGTAGCAAAAATATTAAAACATTAATTTATATTATTATTATTTTCATTAATTTAATGGTTTTTGATTTTTCGAGTTTAATTTTTTCAATTTTCAATTATATTTATCATATTCATTATGTGTCCTAATTTTTCACTAATATGTATGAAAAAAAAAAAAAAGTATATTATTTTAGTCCAATACCAGTGATAATTAACAGGTTGTAATATCAATAACGAATACGAAAAAAAGGAAATGCAAATATTAAAAAACCGACATTGAAAAATAATAATATACCAGATCCCAACCGATCGATCTAAATAAATATAGGTAATTCGCTTGACGCCGAAAAACATCAAACGATTTTCGCGAGTTATTATATTCAATAATTATTATTTATCATGTTTAATAATAATGCAATAATACTGTGACGTGATCTAAATACATACGATTTATCTCGTTGTAAGTCATAGCTGTATGGCCGTATATCTATTGTATAAAATATCGTTCACAGCCATTGATATTGACAGACAACTGAATATTGACTACGTGTTTTTTAACGGTCGTTATCGATACGACGAACGCTATTTTTGAAAATTCGAAACGACGCATCAATGTAATTTATTAGTTTATTTTATTCCCTTCAAAATTCACTCAACGCGACCTAATTATTTTGAAAACGCGATATCTATACCGTAGTACACACGTTTATTTTACATAAAACTACATTATATAGGTACATTACCTCGCGTTATTATTATACGAACGCAAAACAAAAGTAAAAGTGTGTAATAATTAATATAATGACGCGTAATTTTTCATCCCGCGTAAGCATATGGGTTACTGGTACAATCCAATATCAAGAATAGAAATAAATATAATAAATAATGTATACAACGCGCGTTATTTATGTTTCGTCCGATTTTGGTACTTTACGGTGTAAACCCGTGGCCGAAAAGTGATAACCGCTCGTTTTGTACCGAAACGTGCGGTATCGCGCAGTCTTCAAGATAAGGGTGCCGGTCGGTGACGCCGTTTTGGGAAGGGGGACGTAAGGGCCATGCGGCTATCCCCGGACATGTCGGTCACGTTAATTTCACACTGGTCGATGCGCCGTTGTTCATTGCCTTTTCAAATTACTCTTACTTCTTTCATGCTCACTAGATTAAAATTATGGTCGTGGTTGCGAATGGGTCAAAATAAACTAGCCCAATTAAATGTTATTAGAGTACACGCAGTTTTTCAGAAGATAATGGTTTGCGCTTTGTTGAAAATCAAAAATAGATCCGGATTCCAGATTATCTATCGTATTTCGGTCGCGGCATTATATTTGTTTAAAAAAAAAAAAAAAAAAACAACATGATTTTTTTAACGGGTTAGATCGATTGAATTTATTATTATACTATACGGTATACAAAAATTATAATTTTATTATTTATATATTAATATGACGTTGTTAATATTATTTTATTTCAACCTAAATTACAAACTGTGACGATGTCACTTTACGGGCCCGAGTGGGTTAGTAGTAAATAATATAATTGTTTGTTATTAAGGGTGTTCGTTATTCGGACCGAAAGGATATTGCCCCCTCGCCGCCCTAGAAGACGAATCGAATTCGCCACTGGTTTCGATTTATGTCGGGCAATCTTCAATCAAAAATAAATCTATAGGTCCGAGTTTACCAACGTGTAATTAACGATACTAATTTATTGTAGTTTTTTCAATGATGTTGAAAACCATCCCCCCAGTTTACATTCGCGGTCGAAGATTTTGTTCGGGTATTTGAACGTAAGGTCCTATACCCGACTATGTCAAGCTATAGATATTTACTAGAAAAATGATTCGGACTATCAAAAAAATATATTTTATTCAAATATCGTATCTATACCTATTACCGTAATAAATTTAGAATTCTGTAGTGTTTGTTTTCGGTCGAATGTAACTCGACAGCTGTTTACACACGACTGGAATTTAAACGATATACCTATTGAGTATTTTATGAATATTTCTGAAATATTTTAAGTTTGGCATAAAAATATATATACGACAAATCTAAAATATTTTGCAAAATATTTCACCACGTGAACCGGAGCGCCAGTGGTAATTAACCTCTGTGATATTTGACCCCGGGTTCCCGGTTGCCGTTTTACGAATTTATTAATAAAACGCACATATTATAGAGATAAGAAACAAAAAAATGTAAATATTTAATGTGAGAGTATAACCTCTATCCAAGTATAATATTATAATACGCCTTTTTCGTTCGGATGTATTTTTATCGAAGAAAAATAAAAACGAACAAAAGGTCAATTGTACTAAAAATATAATCCTTTGATAATTTATTTATATTTTAAGTACCTATAAGTTGGTTTCGACGACGGTATTTATATATATATATACTGTACGTGGTTAGGGTGAATTCACATAACGCGTTATAACAAACTTATTTTTGTATCACTAATTTCGGAATATAACTATGTCAATCGATATAATAATATGCAGAACGGGTGTAGTATACACGTGCGATTATCGTAATAGTGTTCTAAAAATACAGATATAAATTTCAAATTAGTACTTACAAACAAAAACCGGTGAAAAATGTAAAATGTAAAAAAAAAAAAAAAAAAATTATAATTCTGAACATTGTATACCTACAATTATAGTGTTTATAATTTAAAACGTTAAATATAGGGTTCTGTTTGTTAAATTACCGCTAAACACGTAATGAAACATATAAATTCGACGAAACGTCCGCACACCGATTGTAATATTACTACGGCGGTTGTGAGCACATCAAAATAAAATTTGCAAGTCTAACGGCGAGTGTTTTGTTTATTTCTTCTGCAACAACGAA